GGGGTTCGTTGGTGTTTTTTGGGGGGATGGCGTGTTTTTTGAGGAGTTTTGTGTTTGGCTTTTTTTTTTTTTTTAATCCTTTCAATTTGAAGACCAGAAGGTGAAGCTTGAAGGCTTTACCTTAAAGTCTTGCAACAGCTTAAGACAAGGGGAAATGCCCAGTGCTGGCAGCGAGGGCCCGAGCCTTGGCTGTAGGCTCCAGAAGCAGGTGGGAAGCACGATGTCACACTTCAGAACGAGCTTCCCTTAGATCAGGAAAAAAAAAAAAGAAATAATTGGTGATTTTAAATCCTGCAGACTGCAGATAGCCAGTCGCAGATGCTATAGCCAGTTCCCAAAGTCTGTTTTTCTGAGGCATACTGCAGAATGCTCTGTAGCACACTCAGACGATTTTTTTATTAAATGTGAAGTACGTGTTAACCTGGGACCAAAATATTTTTTGTGGTTGTTTTAGTTCACTTATGCCAGTAACCTGCATGCTTGGGGGATGCAGTGTGGTTGGTTAAAGCATAAGTGTTCCCTAAAACACAGAGATTAATAAAAATTTGACAGTTTTAACACTTTCCACTTCTTGTCTGGATGTTAATCACATCTGATTAATAGTTTTACTTCAGAAAAACCTCTTACTGGTTATCAGAGCTTTACCCACAATGGTAGTAGAGCTAAATTAACTGTGATAGTGATAAAGAGGTCCCTTCATATGATTAAATTGGGTGAGCAGTTCCAAAGGAAATAAATGACTGACAGTGAATTTGTACGTGCCCCTGTTAGGAGGGAGCTGACAGCCTTCTCTGCATCTGGTTCCTGTCTGAACAGAGCAAAAAAGACGAGCAGAACCACAACAGCGCAACTGCATTGCTGAAGTTTTACCAACAAATCCCTGATGATACAGTATGTATCTGTGATCAGGTTTTTTTTCTGTATGTCTCTAATAAACAGAACATCACCAGATTTCTATACAGCACGGAGGAGAGGAGCCTGTAAATGTGGGAGTTTGTTGCAATTCCTAAAACTTGAGTGCAAAATCTTTTTAAGAATGGGGTTTGGATGCTTTTTGTCTGCTCTCATAAACAGGAGAAGTCTTGCAGGACTTAAGACAAATTTCCTTGTTAAGACGGTTTCTGTTGCATTTTGAAATGTTGTTAGCTAGTATTCCAGTCTGGAATTGCAGTGGTTTTGCTATCACGTCACAGTTTCAAAAACAGACTTCACTTTTTTTTTTTAAGAAAAAAGCAGATTTGCTTTTTAGTCATTTTATAATAGGTATTGGAAGAAGAGACAGAACACTTATTTAAAACTTGTATTTCTGGCTGCCTGTTTGAAGTTTTTATTGAAGCTGATAACAAATTGCTACTGTGAGTAAGAATATGGCACTCACCAAGGATTCTTTGGGTATCTGCTTGCCCTTGTTCTGGAGTGGCACGGTGTGGTGTGGGGGACAGTGTTGGGTGAGCCTGGGCGTAGGGAAGCGCTGTGAGGACTGGGAGGCTTTTAAAACTCTCCCACACGTTCTCATTACAGTCGTCTTTTCTTTCTCTGTTATTGCTGAAATCTTTTCAAGTAGTAAAATCAAGCAATTGCCTAATAATCATTGTATGGAAACCTGGGTTCTAAATGTGTTTGCAGGTTGATGTCTCAGTGGCATTATTTAAGTCCAAATAGGGTGTCTTTTTTTTTTTTTTTTTCAGTTAAGTACATTACCGAGTTGGTTTTATCACGTCTCTTTAAACAGTTGATTTTCCATAGAATTTTATTTTTACTGGTGTATCTGCTGAAGTCAGTCATCTTCGACTGCATGTTGGAAACAAAAGGGAAGGAAGAAATTATTTATCGTGTTCTTGCCGCTGGACTGCAGTTGAATTTATGGTCGTAAACAAAGTGCTCAGCGATATGGAAAAAGTCAACCATAAACTGAAAGTCTTGTAATGACTGCTCGTTGAGGAGTGTTCACAGACATTAACCGAGGAGCCTCATCTCTGTGGGCTCCTTATGGCTCACGGGTAGAGCGCTCGAGTGCGTTGTGCTCCGGAGAGTCTGCTGCAGGTGTGTCTGGGCATCACCTTAACGTTTGTTTCCCTGGTGACTACATGGAGCCTTTAGAGAGAAGCTTCTGAACAGCAGTGTTTAATATTAAGCAGGGTGGCTTTACTTATTTTTGCAGTGGATAGAGAATAATTCAGGCCTAGACCTCTGGTAGTATAGTTTAAAGCTCTCATCTCCCCTGGAGCAGCTTGTGTCCCTGAGAACCTGTTCTTTCAAGTATTGTGCTCATGAAAAGATGGGAATTGGATCCACTCCTCATTAGTGTATAAATCATCTGTTTACACCTCCTCATGAGCAAACCAGTTGCCAATTAACCTGAGGGAAGTTCCAGCTGAAGCTCGTGCTGGTTTTTATCCTTTTTGCTTTAAGGAAGGAGCAACACAATGGGGGTTGTACTCGGCATCTTTGCCGTAGCTGAGGATGATGCGTATGTGCAGCTTTCTGTTGCAAGGATCACGTGATGCATTACAATATCGTGAATGTTGCATACGTTTTTATGAAAAAGACTTCTGAAAAGCAATACCATAGGTAAGCTTTTGAAAAAGTTTTTTGTTATTTATTGATGCTCTTTTTCTTTGATGATCCTCAAACACCGACAATCTCCAGGTTTTGGATAGAGGTTATCTTCAGTAAATCTCAGCGAAAGCAGTAACCAGTTCCATCAGCTCAGCCTTCAGTCTGACTGATCATTTATGTGTTGCCACCGAGTGATCTGGGGCAGCTCCCAGGGCCAGTATTTGGTGAGCAGGGTTAGTTGCCTGAAGCAGAACTCTACATCCAGCATAAAGAATTTCCCCCCCCCACAGACCTTTGTCTAAAGTTACTGACTTCCTACCGATGTGTCATACAGCCTTTCCTGTTAGCTTTAGTGAATCACATCCATGGTGACTTCATTTTTGGCTGTACGTGAGTAAATAAGTGTCTTGTCTCAGAAATACTCTAAAAGTGTCAGGAGACACTGTCACGTAAATGATTTTTCATCAGTGAGGGCAAAAGTGTACTGGGTTGGAGCCTGGGCATTGTCACCAGTTTACTTGACAGCTCTTGACTGGGCTACTACGTGCTTTCCAGTTCTGGTGTAAGTAAAAGCTGGGAGCCGCTTTAGTTCGACTAAATGCTACAACATATTATCCATCTTTTATTTGCTCTTTGAGGTTGAACCAGCTCTTTTCGGTGAGGTGAGAGACTGGTGAGATGGCAGCTGGAGGGGTAGGCTTATCTTACGCCTCCATATGGAGTTACGTCAGGTGTCGGTGCTGAGCGACCCACCCCGAGGAGTCTATCTCCCTTCTACGCTGGGTGTATAAACACTTTTAATTGATGTCCCTGGCCTGTTTCATGCTGTGCTTAAGACTGTTCAGCTGCTTTTTAGGCACTTCATGTTATGAAAGTTAAGGATGACAATATGCTGTTGGTTCATATGGAGGTATGTTTAAGGAAAAAACCTTTTAAAAGAATATTAAGGAAACATGAAACTTGCAGACAAAGTGCTTAACTTCTAATAGACTCTGTTTGCTCAGTACAGGCCTGTTACTTGAAAGTGTTGCCTATTATATGAATCACTCCGACCTAGGACAGGGCTGCAGAATGAATTCATCGCGTGCTATCGTCAGTCAGCGCTTCCTTGTTATTTAATGCCTCTGTATAGGAAGCATAAGTCTGCTGAGGGGAGCTTGTTACAGAGCTGGCTCCTATAACTTTGAGCAAGAGTGTTTTGTGAGTGGTTCAGTGAGCTTGAGCCGCTTGATGAGCGTGTTGGCAAAATCTAACCATAGTAATTTGAACTGGGCAGGTAGAGACACTGCTCTAGATCCTGCCAAAGCCCAGTTTGATTGCAACTAATTTGTCATCCCCAGTGATGCATGGAGATATGCGATTGGTGACTACTGCTGATGAAACATGACAGATCAATTCTAATCTCTTACTGGTGAAGACAGTTATTCATGGGGACGTGCATCTGTCTCTTGGTATTTTATCACAGTAAGAGTGCTGTAAAGCAGTAGCCAGTCTGCTGTTTGAGTATCAAACGCTGAATGCTAGTACATCTAGATTTGTCAGACACTCTTTGTTAAACTCATGTAAAAACTGCATATAAAAGTAAATACCGTGCATTAGAAACACAGGGCACAGACTTGTCCCTTTTTCAAAATCTGCTCTATCAGGTTTAGTCTTTTCTGACTCCTGAGAGATTTATTCTCCTCTTGGATTTGCTGCTGGCTTTGCAGGGCTATAATCTTTTTGACAGCATTCTGCATAAGGGCAAGGGGTGGAAGACCATTTATAATCAGGCAGTTCTATTTCTCTGATGCTCCTCAGCAGTGTTTTAACCTCAGAATTCTCCACAAAAGATTGTATCATATGTTATGGTCCAGTTCTAGACATAGGCTTTGTGGGGTTTTTTGTTGTACCACAAGAACTAGCTGTGGAAACAGGGCTCTGAATATTAGAATAAGCTTTTGATTTCGTGGCTGAGCATTGTGCATAAATGTCCTTCAGCAATTATGCGTGTAGAGGGGTTTGTGACCCCTTAATGCAGAAAAAGTAACATTAAGTGGAACAAAGCATAATAAAATGCTTGCGCAGATTTGTCTCTGATCCCCGAAAGGGGTAGTCTGAGCTGCCCTATTGATAATTTATCATGTGGGTGTTTGACAAGCCCACACATACCTTGATATACAACTCTGCAGATAGTCCTCAGTGTTCTGTAACACCATGGTAATATTTTATTCATAAATCCTAATGCTGAAGCCCTTAAGGTGTCATAAACGTGGTGCTAATGCCTGTGAATTTGAGGGGGCTTGCTTAGTCAGATAAATATCATGCTCTAAATAAACTGTGATCCTAACATACAACAGAATAAACATTAATATATACAGAGTACCACAGGATTAAAATTCCCTTGGTGTATATTAGTCCTTTTCTCTGCAAAGAATAATTTTCCGGAGTTTTCATCTTCAAAACCTTTTATCTAAAAAACTGGAGAAGAATAAATCTATTAAGATGCAGCGAGGAGCAAGGGGAGAGAATATTTTGTTGAACTTTGATTATTATAAAGGTTTGTGTCTTAAAGTTTGCAAGGATGGCAGCGTGCCCTTGTTGAAGAGGAGGGCAGGGTTCTGCTTGTGGTCTTGAATGAGGGACAAATCCCTGTCCTGCTCTGGGCAAGGGGGTAACGAGAAGATGGGGGAGGAAATGGTGTACTCCAACCAAGTGGATGACCTGGCATAAGCCCGTTAGCCCGCCAGAGAGGCGTGTTGACCAAGGCGAGCCTCAGCTTTGTCTTTAAAGCAGCAGTGTGGGAACTTGGCTGCTTCTTTGAAAAGCAATTAAAATGATGGAATGGTGCTTCAGTAGAGCTGCACGGATCTGACTGAGCGACGGGGTAGGGGACAACTGGTGTAAATGACAGATAGTGTCATCTACGAGACTGCGTGTCGCGGGCGCTGGAGATCTGGCTCTGCAGGCGCGTTGGTTGCCTCACCGGCCTGTCAGCCCCGCGCGTGGCTCTTGCAGGGCGGGTTTTGTGGTCGGCACCCGGCAGCTTTGCCCCAAGTTTCAGAGGCTGTATGTACAAATGTGAAGATCACGATTAGCACCGGGGCTTGAATTCATCCTAAAGACTATGGCCGCCGAGCGCTGGACTCCTACCCTGTCGTGCTTCCTAGGCAAAAGTGATTGCTTTTGCGTTTTCTGGAGGAGTTACTGAATTATTTTCCCTCTGCAGAGTGTAAGCGTGAGCTTGCCTTTAAGTGGGAGTGCTCAGGTGCTTCAAGTTGGTTTATAATAATTTGCCATTTAAAGACTTCAGCCTGATTGATTAGCTCTTTCTGTCTTATTTTCCTTCTTGCTGCTAAACACCAGTTGCAGGAGGTAGGGGGAGGTCTTTATCCCCTGCGGCTTTTTGCAGAAAGTGACAGTTCTGCAGTTCTCTCTGTTCTACATTTCTTTGCACCAGAAATGACCCTGCTGCTCTTTGTCACCAGTGTTTCCTTTTATCCCTCTCCTGGCAGCTGCTCTTGCTCCATTTTGATGTTGGAACAGCAAATGAACTCCCTCTGAAGCAAATGTCATGCCAGTAAAGATGTTGAAGCAGCAAGAAAATCATCTGTGTCTCTGAAGACTGAATTGGAGACCTTTGTGAATGAGATGTTCTTAAAATAGCTCCACGGCATGTTATCTTCCCTAGAAGGTGGAGAATTGAAAGCCCCACCACAAGCCACTTGTTTTTGTGTGAACAGGTTCCCTAAATAATGTTTTTTGGAGTGGGGAGCCAAGCAGATTGTTTACTTCTCCTCCCAGTAAAAATAAGTACGATAACATCGAAGCAGCTTCTGATGTGTCTTCTCAGTGTTGGGGGAGGGAGGAAGGAGACTGAGACACGGTATGTTGAGTTTTCTGGTTTGTAGATTCAGTCAGCATAGGAAACGCTGGTGCTGTGGTGGTGGTTTTGGGAACACCATCTCTCAGCCCCCTGCCTGCCTGCTCTGGCCGTCCCTCGGTCAGCTCTTGTTCTGTCGTTGATTCCAGCGACAGCAAATTGAACAAAGCAATTGAGCTGATCTGAATTGACTGCGCGTTTCTCCGATGGTATGACTCTTGCTAGGAGTTTTGTTTGCAACATCATGGCTAATGCTCGTGATCGTTTCTTGTCCTGCGTTCAGTTACACTGAAGCAGAGTGCTTCCAACATTCTCTCTGCCAGACGAGCTGCGTTCTGACCCAGTGACGTCCTGGGTAGGAGTTTAAGCCTTTGGGTTGGGAAGTTCTTGCAAGTGATGATCTGTCTAAATGCCAGTTAGTTTTGTTTGCTCTAGTGTTATAATGCTAGCACAAAGTCCAGCCTGATTTGGATTGCTCTCCCCCCACCCCCCTGCCCGTTATTTCCAGTTTGGAGAGCGTTTTCAGTGCTTTTCCATGTAATGGATAATTTTGTCTGGCATAATAGCTCATAAATCCTTCACCCTGTCAGAGTTCCTCGAGTGTTGTAATAGACCATACGCATTTAGTATCAAAAAGGAACAATGTGTTATGGAAACACTTAAACAGTAATTTTTAAATAGTGATCTTTGCAGCAGCACCCCTACCCATTTCAGCAGGGCAGTTTTGAGAATGCAACTTAAACAATTTTTCTCTGAGGTACAGAGTAGTGGTTATTCCCTGTGGTCTTAATATTACTATATTTCTTTGTCATACGCAACTGCTCAGGATAGGAACAGCTACAGGACCAAGACATCCAGAAACTAGTAGGAAGCAACAAACCTGTGGCCTGGTTCCTGACGTTTCACTGCAGCGCTGTGTTCAGAGTGTGGGCTTGGGAGACTGGGATAATGTAAAGCAAGTTAAACTTAAGTTTATGTGGAAGATTTGTTAGAATTAGTGCAACTCAAAGCCTGTGCTTTATTAGGTCGTCACAGACACGAAAACCAAATTTCATATTGACTACAGAATTACATCCATGTATCTGACAGCAGACTTTGGTAATGTTTATTTGAACTGGGCTGTGTGAGGCCAAATCCGCTTAGTTCATGTAGGTTGGCGTGGCTTCTTTCCAATTTATTTAACTTTTGTCAGATCGCTCAGTGGGTGTTTGTACTAATGCTACCTGTCGGAGCCTGTTGTGTTTGTGTCGGAGCTGGTGAGCCACCTGCCCAAGTTATTAACTTACATTGATTATTTTTACCACAGGTTATGTGCCTTTTGATGCTTTGGGCTCATACCCTTTGTGAGAAAGTATTTAATAGGTAGAGATGTTAAGTTACATTTAATATTGTGCTGTTATTAAAAGATCTGCTCATCAGAATTTCAAATAACTAATCTGAGATAATCAACAATAAATTTAAAGCCAAAAGTTTTTTATCTTTACTGATTTTTTTTTTTCCATAGTATTGTTAATGAAATAACAAAACCCGATTTCTCCAGGCAAAAACCACTGTGTGATTTTAATCTGTGTGTGACAGTACATTTATATATTTTCCAAGAGCTGTGTCATCATTTGCTGCTTGTTTAAACATGTCACATGTTTAGTGACCTTGTTCTTCTCTGTCATCCAGTGTTTCTGGGGTGAAAACTAGCTAAAAATAATACCAAGCCAGAAGTTGAGTGGAGTTGCTCCAAATTGCCCTCGCTGAGGATCTGGGCAACCATGGGCTCTGCGGGCAGCAGAGATTCTCAGGTAGTGTAATGTGAAATGCTTTGTATGGGCAAACCCCTCGAGGAACCTGTGGGGGGGTGAGAACAAAACCTGTGCGGTTCTGGCCCTGTGCACTCTGTCGTACTTCGGACACATTCTTCAAACTCCTGCTGCTCCTGGGTGCTTTTGAGTCGCTTTTTCGGCCGCATACCTCGGATGTTCGTGGATTACTTAATTTGCACAGTGTGATCATGTGGACAGGTGGTTGTTTATGATGGTCTTAATTATGGTGAGCGT